AAATTGGGTTTTGAAAAGTTGCAATTGATTTTGATCAAAACTTTTGAAATACCAACTTCTGAATTCTTTATATTGATCCTGTTGAAATTCAGCATTAATGGCAATTCTATCAGGGACAAAATCCATTAAAACTAATATTCATGCGGGTCATTAATGTCTGTGGGATCTTCAAATTGATCCTTAACAGATTCGTTTCCGATTCCCATTTCAGATGGAGTGGGGCTGAATTCAATTCCAAATTGGCGACGAGACATACCTATTGGTGCTTTCTCGTAAACTCCTCTTGGAATTTGATTCGGAGATTGTTGTATTCCTTTCAGCTTGAGCTTGGAATCAACTGCTTCAGGGAGTCCTTCTTTACGATAATCTGACGAGATCGAATGTCGAGAAGGAGGACAAGAAACACGATAAGGAAGATGACTTCCTTTAGATGATGTCGATCTAGATAGATCGATGGATTTTCTGAAATTCAGAAAAACATCACCATCCTGGTCCTGAATAACACAGTCTAAGCTATGATTAGCAATTGGCTGTGCTGGGACGGCATTAGAAATCGTCCAGTGTTCAGGAAATGTTATCTCACTCCAAGGAATCATCCTTTTTGTGGCAACATTTGATGTGTACATGTTAGTATCCCATAACGCTGTTACTCCTTTAGAGTCTTTGCGTATGGCCTTGGGACACATAGTATCAAGTACTTTGTAATGGATGCGATAAATAACACTTATCACTTCCGATCCAGGTAAATAATCATATCCATAAGTCTGTACCCTAAGACTAACTGCCTCATGGATATTTTTATCTGTTAAAGATAAATTCAGACTAGGATAGACATCAAAGTAAACCGGTCCATGACATAGACTGGTTTCCAGTGCACCCATCAAAGAAGGGTGAAATTTCAGACATCTAGCATCCCTTAGGGTTGCTTGAATACAAGCATCCATACCTAACAAGGTCAAAGGTTTAAAAGCAATTTGAATTAAACCTATATGGATATACTTATATTTATTCATGTGCCTCTGAAGGTCACGGGAAGACAATAACTTAATTATTGTATCCTTAGTGCTTAATTGCATGGTCTGTTCCATGGTCTTAATAGTCCATAGATCAGCTAAATTAAGCATTCCGATTTTGTAAATGCTTTTTGCACTTACTGGAGGAATAGTCCATTTGTTCAATTGATTTTGAACATTGGTCCATTCCACTACTTCAGTATTCTTTACCAGTTCTGAATCCTGGTCATCCTGTAGTCCTGAAGAGGAGGACGAAGATGGTTGCAACATGGCTGTTAATTATTGTTAATACTTTAAGGTCTGCATAGTATAAATATTATAATATTATATAGTGAACAGTAAGTTACTATTCTGTCGTCTTTCTGCTTAAGAGAGATTCTATTACTCGTCTGTCAACGATTTACTGGAAACAATACCCTGTGCAGCAATTCAATGCAAAAACGGGTTAAACATTCCAACGCGACTTTTGGACGACCCATAATTGAATCTGGGATAAACATAATTCAGACAGAATAATATTCATATTGTTCAGTACATAATGACGATAATAATCATGCTATCAGAACCTCAGAAGTATTAACAATAGAAACTTAAGCCATCATGGCTCTGATACCAAAAAGATCTTAATTCTGAAGATGAGATTTCCATAGCAGATTATTGGGACTCTCTCACAGGACATTTGAAGGACAAGATGAATCCACCCAAAAAGTAAAGATTCCTCTTATCCTACCGACAGAAGAAGACAAAGAACTTTTTCCAAAGTCTTTGATTCAACAGTAAGAAAACAAAGAACTTTTCCCCAAAGTCTTTGATTCAACAGTATTTCCTTTATCAGATGTCTACTTTCCATCAGATAAGGAGACAGCACTTAGTGGTGGGCCGACCGACTGCATTATTCCAGCACACGATCCCATGCACTATGCGGACTTCAAAGTATTAATTTCAAGTCCATTTTGTGTATAAATAGAGGGCAATGTTTCCCTTTAATGTACTAAATGTATAAGGTGCTGCTATTTGAAAGTGATTTCGGGTCTCTTACATGAATACTACCTTCAGGTCTGTCAAATTTGATTTAATGAAGCTTGCTTTCACCAAGTTGACCACTCAGATGATTTCAGGTCTCTTAACAAGAATGAATATCAAACCATTAAAGCCAGATAGTGTATTACTTTTCCTCGGAAGCAATGCTATAAAAAAGGCTTTGATGCAGATGCATTTTTCAACAAAAATTTCTACACTTTCAGTGTGATGACTTTGTGGGCGGGTGTGTCGTAGGTGGGTGCGAGAGACACTGATAGACTATCACACTGGCGATCTACGTATACACAAGTTTCACATTAGGAGAGGAAAAAGTGAATTGCTTATATGTAAATGTGTCATCTCCAATTGGTATGAAGCCTTTTGGGATAAAGTCCAAGAGCAAAACCTTGCGAGCTCATGCTCAAAGCGGACAATATCATACCATGTGGTGGAGTGGGTCGTTACATTGAGTATAATGGTGGCTTTTTTCTTCATCTTCTTCCCACATTTGGCAAGGAGTCAGACCTGCCATTTGATGCCTAGCCCCACTTGATTTTCCATTTGTCTAGTTCCTATCCTCTAGCTCCAATGATGCACCTTTTGCTTGTTTTGGGCTGTTGCAGGTTTGTTATCGCCTTCCACAGGACTCGAAATCAAGCAGGACTACTACTCAACATTCCACAGGACACCTAATATTCCAAAAAAGTTCTAACGGAACATTCCACAGGACTCCTAACCGAAAGTAGTTCTCACAGAAAGAGTGAAGGGAATTCACACAGGATTCAACCTGTCAAGTTATATGGCATACCTTGCTGCTCTGATGAGTTATTATAGAGTTTTATGTTGTCATTTTTGTAAAATTTAGGTTTCGAATGATGTATGGGATCCCTTTGGTTCCATGTTTCTCGAGGGTGCATGCATTCTTCATGAGCAATCAGCCCTTTCTTTGATGGCTTAGCTTTGTTACCAGCAAGTTCAATATCTAGCAGAGCAAGGGAAAGTCATTGGTAATGGGGCAAATTATGAATTTCATCAGGTTGCCTATAGTTGTTATCTTATTCAAACTCAACAAGTTTTGACTCAACTGTTGTGTCTTTTGGAGCACTTGTTTTCAGTATATGGACCTGCAAAATTTCATTAATAGGTACTAATTTCTAACTAGTGAACTCTAACTAATGAACCAAGTGTCTGTCTGTTTTTGTTTTTGTTTTTGTTTTTTCCCCCTTCTCCTCAGCTTCATAGGGCAAGAAACACATACACACACCGACTTGCAAATAGTATTATTGTTAAAAACTTGAAAGTAATAAGCATAAGTCATCAAGACTTTGTGCTTCTCGGGTTGTATAAACTCTTTTTTCTTCCGTGTCTATGTTGTGAACTCTTCTTCCTCACTCAAATGTTACCCTATTGTGCACTAATTATTCACACCAATTCCCAATCATATTATAAGGTTCACTGTGGTGATGATAAATTAAATAGAACTTCTAAATTAACATCGTCAAATTTTAATCTCTTACAAATTAGAGCCGTTGGAGCATAAGAGACCACTGGTTTATGGTAAGAGTTCAAGTTAACAAACATGACTATAATAGTATTTGAGTTCGACAGTACTCAATTTGTGCAAATGATACCAAAGATCCCGTTGCAGCACTTTTTCCCTACCTCGTTTTGTGAACGCTTAAAGATCAAATTCCGTCAATATGAAGTGCTCTTTATTAGCTCTAGGTTGTTTGTTCACAATTCACATCAGGTAGAGTCAGGGAGTGACTGTTGAGTGTTGATTGATACAGTTCACTTAGTTTTCTGAATCCTACCTCGTCCCACATCGACAATAAATGTTGAATTTTACTCTTTATATATAATTTAGGGAACGGGCCGCTGGCACCGGTCTTGATCACTCAAGCGTGTAAGGTGAGGGTATCAAGGGTGGTCGGAATTGGGTTTGGCCCGAAGGTAGGGCTTATGGCGTGTAATTGCTGGCTCGACCGGTCCAAGTAAGGAGTTGGGTAATGGGCCCCGAGCGAAGGCTTGGTGCTCATGGGCGGGCCTTAGAGTGGGCGCACAGCGTCAGGCTAGTAACCTCCCGCTCCTGTCGGTGGAAGGATAACGAGCCGGTACTCCACAAGTCCATCAAACACCGTATGAGCCGCTCTCAATCTGACGACCATCTTTTTGCCCCTTGTTTTTTAAGAAAAGTAAAAGCTTTTGGGTGATGAAAAAATTGAATGATTCTATTATTAGACTGATGCTCTAAATGGGGTTTGGGAGTACCAAATTGAAATTTTAGATTGAAAAAAATTTAATTCAAAATTTTAACTAAATTTTCTCCATTCTAAAAAAATTACTAGTAAAAAATTCAAGCCAACGAATCAACACTTGTTCGGAAGGAAGACTCTTGAGAGTTTACGTCTACAGTCACTGCAGGCATCAGTTGTTTGTAAAGGAGTTCATGATATTTGAAGTGCTTCAGATGAACCATTCACAACTATTAATCACCTCACAAAAGCTAAAGTAAGAATAATCCGAGCTTTAGGTCCCTTTCGATCAGATTCTGAGCTCTAGCTTTGTTCCAATGTTCATCACTTGTTCACGTAGCCAAAATGGTATCACATATATTTTGAGTTGTGTGAACTCACAACTTGGATTCGGTGGCTTTTTCTACACAGCTAAGGCGCAAGCCACCATTTAATTTTTGCAACTTTTGGTGTAAAGCCATGCACCTTAATCGTATGATTATTCATTTAACTAAACTAAATTATGCTACTGACTGACACTTTGCATACAATTTAAACCAAACTCAAAGTCCCAAGTCCAAGTGCAGTATTAGCCAACTTTTGTTCAAATTGATTCAACCTGAAAACCAAAATTGTGCGGTGTTGCACCCAGGTGAAGTTTTAACTACAAAAACTAGAAGCTGTCACCCCTAGTTTTCCTTGTGAGAATACCAAAACACATTATATACCAAAGTTTATAAAATTCTTGAATCTACACAGCAAGGTTTGATGCACCAGTATAAACACAAAAAGGAACTACTCCAAAAAAGATTTAGCGAAAATGGTTGTCCTCAGACAGCTAGGAACGAGTCTCGACAATCTGCGGACCCATGTACTCAATTCCAAACATCTCTGAGTCTTCTGGCATTTCAATCTCTTCCAACCATCCGTAACAGTCACCCACTTCTTTTGCTACAGTACTAGTAGTTTTTTTAATACCTGCAAGTGTCAACATTCAAGGTTGAGGAGGTTGAATGTTTCAATTATGGAACAACTCAGATTCACATTAAAGTTTCAAGCTGGTAATGTGTGGTAACTAAAATAGTATATATGTCGAAAGCCACCCAAACTGAGAAGAGAGAAGGATTTGTGCTTACTTGATACAGCAGAGTAAGGAGCATCTTTGTAGTAAGAGCAGTCTCTTCCATCCTCTTTAGAATAGGGAGGTCCAAGCACATCAAGCACTGCACAGGGTGTTATAGCTGTGAAGGCATGGATATTGCCTCCTGATGTTGGATATAGTACAGAAGTGTTGCATGGAGCTGTGAATACCCGGTTTGCTTTCAACCGTGCCAATCGCACTGCAATACCATTTTACTAGGGTCAGTTAAAGTAGAATCCTTTTCATCTATCATTTTGGTACACAGAGAGAGAGAGTCTACTCTACTCACATTGAGAGGACGCCTTGGAGTTATCAGAATTGACAGGATCAACCCAATCATATGCCTTAATGTGCATGCTTCCCAGTAGAAGCTTGCTGAAAACAGTCATTTCTGGGTGGTTATGGAGGGGAATGACACCAGTAGCAGGAAGAAAGAAAATGCACATCTGCAGAGGACATGATAAAAGGTAAACGGATTGTACAAATTTTAAAATGCTGGAGACAAATAAAAAATCAATATTTTAACTTGATAAAATACGCATTCCAGGCAGACTAGAAAATTTAATAATTGCACTGGATGTTTCATTTGTTTAAGATTGTGTGACACCACATTCCACAAAAGAACCGGCCAGTCTTACCGAAAAATGTTCACACTGGTATATGGTTGTGTATGAGACTGTTGGAATCCCTTTGACAACACCTTTAGGCTTAAAGAACTGCAGATCTTTACTTAGTCCAACATCTTCTGGCATCATATTATCTACAACATGATAGAAGGTTAGTTAAAGAAACAAGGATGATTAGTATGTTCTAATTTCACGTATTTAGTAAGAAGATACCTTCTGGCACCATATAATAGATTCGCATGCAAGAAGATACCGTATTTATTACATACCACACAGTACATTCATCCATGCATAGCACATAAACTCATGCACATGCCTGTCACAGAAAGCACATCTTGCTATGTACTATTTTACTTTCTACAATAATACATCAGAGTTTAAACCTTTTTTTTTAAAAACCTCATCGTTTAAACTAGCTATGTATAGTTCCAATTTTAAAGATCTGGATGCATGCACATCAGAGCATGCTAAATAAAAAGGACCCCTCGCGTCGTCTGTGTATCTTTTCATTGATACCTATGGAAGGTATAAAGATGTATGAAAACAAAGACCATAAGCTCTTTAGTCCATAAAAATCTAAACAGATTACAGCTTATGTTCACTGTATTTATATGTTTTTCTCTTCATATTTGACAAGAAGGAATTTAACTAGCTAAACATATATCTACTTGATGTGCACTCTGCCGTCCAGCCACTAAAATACACTCACATTGAATCCATCAACTCATATCACCTAATCAAAGAAACTGCAATTTGAAGAACTCCAAGACATTGAACTATAAAGATCCAACAGATATAGAAAGATAACTCAAAATGTACATCATTGTAAGATATATGTGATAAAATGAAATATACCTAAAAAGGAGACCTACGATATACCTAAAAAGAAGAGCATTACCCATGATAATTTATTTTATCCTGCAAACCCGAGCTACTCAGAGAGGCACATTGGATAATAGTCTACAAATGTAACTTTCTGCACTCACTTTTGACTACTTGAACAACGTGGTCGATCTCCGACTCAACACGCATTTAGAACATGTTTATAAGAATTCAAGGCCAGTGTAGAGAGGCTTAAGTATATATATTTTCCCCTTTTGGCTGAAATCGAAGTGTTGGCATTTTCAGGCATTCAGCATAGCACAAAGACCAATTTAATTTGGAAAATAACCAATAATAATAATAATAATAATTCAGAGACGAAAAGAAGAAACAACAGATCCATATTTTCCTATTAAAAACAATTTAACAAAGAAGATCATGGGATCAAAACGTATTCAACCATCCAACAGCAGAATATATAGCCATGACCAATTCGATGTAAGATTTACTAAATTTCCGTCATAATCTTTCAAGATATACAAACCCAAAACATTATCAACCATCCAACAGCAGAATATATAACCATGACCAATTCGATGTAAAATTTACTAAATTTCGGTCATAATCTTTCATGATATACAAACCCAAAACATTATCAACCAGTCACGGTACCAAAAGATGAAGGGGGATGTTATTTCTAGTGGAAGCTAGAAAGCAGATAAAAAAATCTTCCCTTCTTGGTGAATTCAGTTATATGTCATTTTTGGTCTTCCTTAAGACCAATTGATGATCTTTTTAGCGGCTCGGAATCCATTAGTCCAGAGCTTTTGTAGTATAGCACAAATGCTGTAATGCAACGGACGGCCTTGATCACTCACACGAGTGATCGATCGTGGCCATCTGGTGATGTAACAGCAGCGGATCCAGGTTCCTGAACTCATTTACTATTAAGGAACACAAGGAATTCTTAAATGTTACTATTTAGTAATTTTTTAATGGAAAATAGTACAATTAGAGTTGTCATTTAGGTAAACAGCGCACATGGTACACTACTCCCAGTTATGAGTAAAGATAAGGTTTAGATCCATATAAATATCAAAACATATACACATACAAACATATACAAAAACAGAATTGTGCGTTAGGAGACTGACCAAGAATGTGACACAATTTGTGCACATCAGCAGAGGTAGGAACGGTTCCAGGGCCTTTAAACACGTCTTGACAGGATTCGAACAGCCTCTGCAGCGCCATCATGGGAACCGGCGGTGCCGGCTGTTTGGTTCTTCTTACTATGCATCTCCTCTTCTTAATAATCTTACTAACATCCCCAACCCCATCCCTATCCCTTCTCTGCTCCACCATCGCCGCCTCAATTGTCATCGACCCACGGTCACCCACCACCGCCTCAACAAAACAAAACCCACTAATTAATTAATATTGGTGGTGTCCTTGCAACTATATTTATAGCATACCCCCACAGAGATGCTTCAAATTCAACCCAACAAAAAACTGACTAAAAGAACAGCATGTTTGTTGTGGTTTGAAATGGATCCGTGGGGGATGGATAGGGAAAAAACAGTTTGTATTCTAAAAAGTTGTGCGAAAACCAGAAGGAAAAATTAATGTTTCGGTGTGTGATCAGTTTTAGTCCCCATGGAACAGAACAATGAGCCTTTTAAAGGAGAAGCAAAACCAGGGGCTATGCCAAGTGGATTCCTAGAGAGATAATATGGGTGGAATTGACAAAAATGATGTTGGTTGGGAGGAACCTAGAAAAAAGAATGGGGTGGGGTGAGGTGCCAGGGTGGCAATTCTTGGTTTCTTTTCCCGCCCCCAGATTTAACCGATTAACTGTACCCGGTTTTAGGAATTCACACGTGCGATTAATGTGAAATGACAAAAATGCCCAACACCTATATATGAGAGTGGACCCATTGGGGTAGGCGTAGGTCCAAGGTTCAGCTCCTTGAAATCCATATTTAATCGACTTCAATGTGAATTGAAAAATCCACAATTCAATTCCACTCAATCCTTGTTGAATGAGGGTACAACTATTTCAGACGTTTGGATCTCAAATTCTTTTTGGTGGATGACATGATTACAATAGTAGAATTATCCAAAAGGTCAATAGATATTTTGTTCGCTCAATACCCCCAATTTTGATAACTAAGTTTTGAAGTCCTTGGTTGTGATCACCAAGGACCAGGTCAGTCCATTTAGTAAGAAACAGGGTGCGTTAGTTTACTTGTTCCAAAAATAAATAAATAAATAAATAATAAAAATAATAATAATTAAGAAAATGATAAAATTGGCAACTATAAAATTTCTACAAAAATCAACTCACATAGACGTGACTATCTTAAAATTTCAACTCAAATACAAGTATCTTTCATAATATGATCCTCTTAAAATATTTTCAACTTAAGCATCCATAATCTGGTTATCTTAAAATTTCATTTCATACATAATTTTTTTCATTTTTTTTTTTTGTATTTAGAAAAATAGAAAAACAAACTCTTTCCATATATATATATATATATAGATATATATATTCATTTTCAAAAAATGGATTTTCATATCTCTGGAATGTATTGGAATGCTTCCATAAGAACTCTATAAAAAATTAATTTCTACAAAAACTAAAACATAAATTTCATTTAAAATTTTGAATATCAACAAAAATCGACCTAAATTCTTATTTTATTGATTTGTTTGTACTTTCTTTCATAGTTATTGTTTTGTTAAATTTTTAATTGTTATTTTTCTTTTAGAGTTATTTTTGTTTTTTTCTTTTTAGTAAGTAAAGAGAGCTATTTTTATTAATTAATTTTTGGAATGCATCTTATATTTTGGTTTTAAATGACCTACTTTTACTCTATCATGGTGAAGTATCGATTTTGTATTCATTGGGCCAAATGGTACAACTCTAAAAATTATGGCTCATTCCAACTGTAATCCATGCGTAAAAAGGAATTTTAAAGAAAATATTTTATTTTATTTTTTTAAGAACAATTAACGGAGAAGCCATTCCCATAAATGCACAGTTTGCACTCTATCTTTAAAATAAAATGATTTTATTATCCCTAACTCATAATTCATCCAAGACATACTCCGTAAAAGAGGGGAGGAGAGGGAGAATACAATTTGAAATTGAATAATGATAAAAGTTTGACTTTTGAATTTATTGGACTATTTATATGTGAGGAAATGATATCATCATAGACATCATTAAATATGATGATGTTATCGTGACGTCATTTCCTACTTATATAAATTTAGTCAAATGTCTTTGATTATGACTCCCTAACCTTATTTCATATGAAATTTCCTTTTAATAAAATAACATTATTATCCCTAACTCACAAATGAGATAATTAGTTTTGGGAGTATTTTGTTATTTATATTATACACACACACCCACTTATCAAAAACACCCTTTACTTTATACCAAAATTCTATATATTTATAATTCTTTAGATATTTTAAGGTGGGTTGGCAATAGTTGGGACTTGGGAGACGTGGTAAATCAAAAACTGCCAGCAGTGGATTAAAAATGTGCACCAACATAGAAGATATTACATCAAAGAGTGAGTGAGTTGGTGTATAAAATTGAAAACTAAGTATTAAAAGTTTCAAGAGCTGAAATGTAGCTACTAAGACTATAAAGCAGCAATCATATATTGAATTTTTTTATTTATATTTTTTTAAATTCTAACTATTTAATTTTCTTTGAATGACGCCTATGACCGTCTAATAGATAAGAGAAAGGAAAATAATTTCTCCATTTGATAAGGAAAAAGAAAACCTGGAAGATTTCCATGTCACGTGGCACCCACACTGAGGACTTGGCTTCCACGCTTTCGGCTGAGGGCTTTCCTACTGAGGCACATGTCTATAACGATTTCCCCACTCTCATTTTACAGGACTACAGTTGAGTGTTTCGGTAATAAAAGATTTTACCCTTTTTTGAATTAATTCATAAAAGTATTAAGGCAATGGAAAATGGTATTATTCACAGTCTTTAATATTTTAATTTAAAATAGACCGAGATAAAAATATGACGTGTTATTATAAAATTTTAATTTAAATAAGTATCATTATTATTTTCTTATCTTTTTATGGTACTCAAATATAAGAATTTTCATGGTACTCAAATATAAGAATTTGATTGGTACAAAATTTAAAACAAAAATGGTAATATTTTTCAAATTTTCAATGCTTTACAATTTTTTTTTTTAAGTTTCTCTCTTTGTTTTTGTTTATGGAGTTACATAGATTCTTAATTTTGATTATTATAATAATGAACAAATGTCTAACTAATTATATATAGGAGATGCAATCTTAAGTATCTATTCCTCAGAACATATACAATTTAATACAGTGATTGAAACTTTAATAATCAATAAATATATTAAATTAAGATGAAACCTAAAAATATGGAGTACAACTTTTCAAATAGTTAATTACCTTATATTTTAAAATAGATAGCGTATTTGACAAATAAATAGAGTTGTGAGGTAATAAGTTTTTATTTGTTGGGTAAATAGTAGTACTCTAAAGCAAATGTGAAAAATAGTAATTACACGTCAAATGTAATATACATACATTATACACATATATCAAATGTAATTTAAGGAATTTCTGAAGGAGTAATAAGGAAGAGAAGGGGCCCTCTTCCTTGCAGCTGCAGCCTTCATAGCTTAAGTGCTTCATCTTCAACTTGTTTATTTATTTATTTATTTTTAGTGTTTTTAGCATACAATATGCAAGTCGAATCAATTACAAATTGAAGGATGAAGCAAAACACAAGCATTGGACCACACAAGCTTCTTCGTCCCAAACAGGGACAAAACTACAAAACCTTTAAAAAAAAAGGGTAAAGTACACAGACACCCCCTGAGGTTTGGGGTAAGGACAAGCAAATGAAAGTTTGGCTATTTTTGGACAATCACACCCCCTTGTTAAATTTGCCATCCAAACAGGGCCTTAAAACACGTGAAAAGTCCATTTTACCCTTTTCTATTTTATTAATTTAAATTATAAAATTATAAAATACTTAACGGACCAAATTACCCTTATATATATATATATATATATATATATACCCCCACACAACAGTGACCACCAGCACCAACAATAGATCCACTGATCGTCAATCTATTCAAAACGACGCCATTGGGAGTCGATGACGGAGATTCTCCCGGAGCTGAAGAGAATGACGGAGGCACGGCAATACCGGAGGGAGACGAAGCAGGAGCGTCGGAGGTTGGGGGAGCAGGCGGAGAAGCAATCAGAGAGGTCGGGGCAGTACCGCCTGCGGTGGAGAAGACGACAGCGAGGACGACAAGCCGAAACGCCACACCCGACCATTCGGTCTTAAATTAGTTCAGAGGTCCCGTTATTGATCAGGCGATATATGTTGGGCGTCGAGGTCTTGAATTGGTACCCAAATCGAAACCCAATTGATGAAATCAGAAGAACAACTGGGTTGTTGGTGAGAGGAGGAGCAAAATTTTCAATTGATTCAGAGGTTTGATTGGGGTGGGATTGAGATTGATATTCACATCATCAAAACCCATCTTTCCAACCAGCCTATATTGGTGGGATTAAGATTGAGCCGCACCTTGTCGGCTCCCTTCGTCGGAACCTTTTATGCATAATGAAGAGCATGGACTGAACCGGTAAAATACTGCCCGACGATGGCTTCACGGAGAGCATGGATTGAATATACCGGCGGTGAAGCTAGACTGACCGGTGAGGAGCGGGCCACGACTGTCGGCAGAGCTCTCTGCCATGGAAAAGCCGGAGCTCTGTGGAAGATCATGCGTAGGCGAGGAGTGGGCCACGGCCGTCGGCGGAGCTCTCCGCCATGGACTCGTCGAAGCTCTGTACAAGAATCATACGCCGGCGAGGAGCAGGCCACAGATTATTATGTGTATATACAGATTAGAGTCAAAACCATTATGTGTATAAGCTATATTTTGGCACCATAAAATTCAATCCACAAGTCTGAAACTGCTCTGTCGGTCAGAGACACACAAGTCTGAAACTGCTCAAAACCCATCATCATGAAGCCAACGTCAAATTCAGATTATTATGTGTATACTCAAAACCATTAGAATCATCGGCAATTCCGGGAAAATTATTTAACAATTTGAATGCGAAATCAGAACCATTATTAGTAAAGAATGATATGGGCATCAAATCAATACCCATTATAAAGCAAAACTCTATTTTTCTTCATTATTTATTTGAAATTCTTTCTTCTATAATTTAATTTTGCAATAGACAAAAAAAATAAGTTGATATATATTGGTTTATAATTGAGACCAGACCAATAATATATATACTCCGTATATATACACACACATTTTGGGTGTAATCCAAGAATGAATTATTCCAGAAGATTTACATATATACCAATAAGGAAAGAAAGAAAATTAAAAAAGAAAAAATAAATAACAAATTATATTTGTTAATGAGAAATTTTAAAGATGGAAACAATTTTATTGACTATTAGTTTCAATGTGTAAAAATAAAAAATAATAATAAAAAAAGGATATGATAAATTTCGTCTAAAGAAAAAATAGAAAATTCTCTTTACTTTCTAATATATATTACTTATGATCATATTTTAGCAACCACCGAACAAACTGGGCACAAATTCTCGTCCCGAATCAACTCATCGGTCGGAGACACACAAGTCTGAAACTGCTCCGCTAAAAGAAGCTATATTTTGGCACCATAACTCCTCCAAATCCAATCCACAATGGTCCCTCTTCTCCCCATAAGCGCACCAATCTGTCCCACCACCGCAACCCTCTCAAAAACATTAACCAGAGCCTCCTGAGATTGTGATACATAGCACTCCTCTTCTTGTGTGATCTTCTTGTAAATAGCTGGATAGCCGATGATGTTTACACGCTCAAGGCAACGGGTTATCATAACTTCGACTCTAATTTTGGCTCTGATTTCGCATTCAAATTGTTTAATAATTTTCCCGAAATTGCCGATGACTCTAATCATACGTCGGCGGGTTCCTTTCCGTTGATTATATGTGTATATACAGATTATTGAGAGATAAATATATATATATATATATAAAGGTTAAAAATGTAATTTCAACATTCAATTTGGTCAATATAAAAGTCAAAAGGCAGAAATGTCAACTCATTACCATTGGGGTGTCTTTGGTTATTATATCAAACTTGAGGGGGTGTGTTTGTCCCAAAATAGGCTAAGTTTCATCTGACTGTCCTTATCCCAAACCTCAGGGAGTGTTAGTGTACTTTACCCAAAAAAAAAAAAACTTAAGATGCAAACCAAAAGCAGATTCTGACCAACCATAGCGAGTATAATCACCAAACAACCTGATAAATGCAGCAAAAGAAAAGCAGATATATTTGATCTAAGCATTCAAAATTTACAGGGGGTTCTTATTCCAAACAGGAGTAAAACTTGAAAGCCTCTAAACAAACATGCAATGCAAGTCAACAATGAAGGGAAGCAGCACCAGACCCAACATGGGTGACCAATTCAGCTTGAGGTATTAATGTGTTAGCGTACTCCGGAGTCGGAGCAGTATCAAAGTTTTCCAGATTAATGAACTGAGCTACAATGCACAAAACAGCACAATGAATCTATGATCAACCACAATTCCCCAGCAGTTTGGACTTGAAATCATGGCAAAAGAATGGTGCCTTTTCTCAGAGCTACAAGATCTATACTTTTCTTTCTTCTCTACTATTATCAGTTCAATGATTCTATAACTTTTCACTAACCATAAAACCACTCACTGCTGATCTAACCCTTTGAGCAAACTCTACAAAGGGATTTTATGGATCAATCTCTCTACTTCGTCCTCTCCAATTCCATCTTCATACCTCATTAACCTTCTAAGAGAGAATCACAATAACATAATGACAAATTATCGCGTCCACCTCCAAAACGCAATTAGGATGATGATCGTCACAACCATGCCTGCATATTTTATCCATTGATCAACGCGATTCCGTCTCTCAATGAGTCTCAATACCGAATTTGATAACCCCACTGTGTTGAGTACATCCAGTGCTTTCCTTTGTGCTCTCTGCACCAAAAAGAAATCTAGTCAGGAATGCAAGTCTTTTAGCAGCTTCAATCCTTACAATATTGTCAAGCCTAGGAGTAATATTTCATTTGGTAAATGCTGATTGCATTTCTAACCTTTTCATGCATAACAATAAAGAAAGCACTGCCTATAAAATGTCCTGTCCCCAGGTTATGTCACTACAGCACAGCACCACAAACAAACTATTGCAACTTTTTACCTTGTATTGTCAACAAACTTGCTGAATTTATATCAATGAAGGTGCAAGCATGTAGTGGAAGCAGGAAGGAAGATCAAATATAGGTTGGCAAGGACGAGAACAAAGAAGCAGGGGGTAACAAAAATCAAACATAAATAACAAGAAGCTTTGGAAGAACATACGAGTTACCAGCAGGAAATATTTTAGTGCTATAAAAGTGCATCAGCATTTGAAACAAAGTCTGATGAGACAGGGATAAGGGAAAGAAATCAACCCAAAAAAACTAAATAAATAAACTGAGTTCTAAATAATTTCATCCTTTTTCATAACCACGAAAGTGATGAGACACCCAAAATTCAGTCCAGCAAAAAAATATTAATAAAATAAAACTACCCAATAGCCAAGCTAATTGAACAGGTAAATTCCATATCAGCAAAAAGGCAGTAGAAAAATCTATGAAAATAGGATTTGTCAAAGAGAAATGTACTAAATTAAAATGGAGATAAGAAGAATACAACTTGAAACTTAACTTACCAGAGTCTTAATACAACTCAACACTTGAATTACCAGATTCTTACCAACAGGCCAATGACCTAGAGGTACCAAGCCCCTACTTCTCAAAGAGAGGTCAGGGGTTCGAGTTTCAGTGGAGGCATGTGTGTGTGAGTACCAACTAGGAGGAACAAAAAAAAAAAAAAAAAAAAAAAAACCAGATTCTTATCATCAGTTTCCAAAAAAATTAACTACCTTCAAGAAACTAAAAAGTTTAGTTCAACCAAATCTAGAGAGAGAGAGAGAGAGAGAGAGCTATATAAACTCTCCACAAAATGGGTGTGTGAATTCTTTTCAGATTCTTATCATCATTTTCTGATCAAACTTTTGAGTACTTGTTATATTATAAGAAAGCTTTATATATGTTATAAATAAGATACATATTATTGCACATTACAATAAGGAAATTCTTAATTTTTACAGATATCAAAAATAATAATAATCATAATAAAATAATAATAAAAATCATAATTTACAGAAATAATAATAATAATAATAATAATAATAATAATAAGAAGAAGAAGAAGATAAAACAAATATAAAAAAATACCTTATCAAAGTTAGATCGGAGAAACGCCTACCTACCTACACCACCACCAACACTAGGTCACTAGCACAATTTACCGATGCAAGAAAAGCCTGAATAAGGAAATGAAGATTGTACTACCACATCCAGGCTAACCCATCATCTAGTAGATTATTAGATACAAAAAGGTCACAGATCAATTTTTTTTTTTTTATAAGTGTGTAAATTTCAGCAAAAATCAGTACATTACATGTTCTTTCTGAATGCCAAGATAATCCAACTGAAAGCATTAATTAATACAGGAACCAGCCTCTTGAACTGGATTGTATATTGCTCCTATTTTATGTAGACATGCCTAAAGGCTAAAGGCTTTCAGCTTCGAACTCCAAAAACCCACCCTTTTGAAGTGTTTATTGTGTTTGCCAGCAGCAGACTGGCAGAGTTGATAGTAGATTGCATGTAGATACTAGTCTGTCTTCTTGTCTATCGGAATACCAAAATCTAATATTTAATCATAAAAGAGGGTCAAGAGTACTACAAAGTACAAAAGAGAGTAAGGACCACTTGTAAATATTACATTTTGACCAGTCAACTCGTCCCTAACATTTTAGTTGTCTTCATGATCCTCCAATATGTTTTCAATCTAATTCTGGAATGTGATCAAATTCAAAGCCAGATAATACTTTATCCAATAATTCTGAAATTTTGAACTTCATACCCAGATATAGTAAGTCCCACAGTGAAGATGTCCTTGCAATACTAGCATCTCAATACATACTAAAGTTTCAATAATCGCACATATACATACATAAATACAAATATGCATGGGTATCATATGCTTAATTCGTATGAGTACCTTTAAGCGATCTCTTTGGGTAGCATACTGGGCAAGGATAGCCACTCCAGTTGCATGAGATTCTTCCAGCATCCTGGACGAGTTACGTGCTGACTGCATTGCTTGAGCTTCGTCATCAAAAATTCTCAATACATGAGAGGACTCCCCATTCTATAATGTACAGTAAATCCATTAGATAGTGAAGTAAAGGTCTGCATGAGACCAACAGAGCACAACTGACTGTAAAATACATCAAAGAGAGAAAGGATTACGTACAGCTCTTCCAAGCAATTCTGCCCTCTCTCTGGCTTCTTGCATCCGTCTCTGGTTGCGTAAGAAGAACTTGTCCAGACTTTCTTTCAACGAGTCAGCCTCCTCAGCTACTTGTTCCACTTTTCTGTGTCACACACACACAAACGCGCATAAAAGACAAATACGAGACCATCAAATCACAACATTGGTTACAATATTGGAAAAAAAAAAAAAAAAATACAAACTACAGGACTTTAATCACAACGGAAAAAATAACCAGCTCTAACTGCTGCTAGATTTTCTGCTTTATGAGCTAGTAAGATTGGTCTGACGAAATTTTCCTGAGACTACGCCCAACAAGTTGTCCAAGCTTCAGTTCAAAATTTTAAAACCCTACAGTGGTCTATCTCTCTTCATTATTGAAGATAACACAGAATCTTTTGCTGTAAAACCCAGTTGGAGGCTAATGTACTCCCAAGGAAATCCAATGGTGCACATTAGGAAATGGGTCAATGGACTCTTAAGCATAAGTTTTCTCAGATCTAGTCTCCCAGTCTCCCCCCATAACAGTGTTGAAAGAAGTGGAGAAGGATGCTACTTTTACTGAAATTCAACAAGGCTGGTTCAAACTTTATTTTTCTTCTTTTGATTATTCTTCTTCTTTAAAAAGTAAATCAGATTAATCACATAAACACACGAACGTTAGCCAGAGGATAGACAGATCCAATTCAATTAACTGACATATAACATTTATGATTCTATACAATGAAAAAATGGTAAGAAATTTTTTTTTTTTGGGAGAAAGTTCCAGAATCTATAATATCTTCTGCAACAACCAAGAGAGAGGAACTTTTGCCTTTCTAAATTCTATAGAAATCACAATAAACCAAGTTAAATATAATTTATTTCCAAACAAGACCAAAGAAGAGCCAAATAGACTTAAATACTTAATATATTAGCAACCCTCCAACAAAAAAAAGGGTAAGCAGGAACAAAAATGCTTGAAAAATAAAAGTTGGGATGAATATGTACCAAAATGCATATATTCATCAGCAAACACTGACGATTAAGAACAGGCTACTCTGCACTATTGTAGCATATAAATCCAACAGGAACAAAGATCAGATCGAATAGAAGAAAACAAAAAATGATTACAAAATTTATGCATATAAGCAGGCATCTACATATATATATATATATATATATAATACATTTAGATATCATGATTGACTGAGATTTTTATTTTCTGTTTGAATCGTTGAGAGTATCTATGGCCTAAATCCCAATTAGGTTCATAATTTGACTTGATTCAAGAAGTAAGCTAAACAAGAAGATAGAAATAAATAAATAAAACAATAATAAAAATTTAAAAAAAAAAAAAAAAAATCAGGTACATGATTCTCTATAGATTCTTGACTCTCGAGAGATTTCAAAATATCAAAGGGTAAAAAGCTGCAAGTTAAAACCCTACCATCGCAGTAATTAAGGGGGTAAAGAAAGTCCCATAATCAACAAAGATATAACAGAAGTACACGCATTTCCAGAAAAACAAAAGAGACGGAAGACGAGAAATATCCTCAAATGATCGATTGATCAAATCAAATAAAAATTAGAAAATCAAACAAGCACTCAAAGATCCAGTAGTCCACAAATCAATAAACCGAGCATAGCATATGATGAATTGATTGATAGAGTAATATATAGAAAGAGAAAGAGAATAGGACCTCTTCCAGAGATCGCGTTGGGGCTTGGCGGCGACGGACCTCCAGAGACGATCCATCTCAACGCAGAGCGATTGGATCTGACCGATATCCCTCTTGACTGCAGATGAAAGTTCCGGAGAATCCAAGGCATTGGACGATGAAGATGAGAACTCAAGCCTTTCGAGCCGCTCAAGACCATCTCTGCTACTCAGTAGAAGCTTCTTCGAATTCTGATAAAGGTCCGACAATGTTCCTCGTTCCACAGCCATCGCCGATTTACGGAGAGAAAATCAGAGTTTAAAGAGAGAGACACGAAGAAGATTTATAGCAACCTACGTCCACGTTAGGCTCGTTTAATTTGATTTGATGCAATTTATTGTGATGGTCCGGTTTGGACCTTTAATCTGGACCAAACGTTTCTATGGGTCGGTATCAGAGCCAGGGCTCTGACCCCAAATGCCACTCGAGTGGAGTCTGGATCCTAGTTGAGTAAGGGTCCGTTTGACATGCGTTTTATTTTAGGCATTTTGTTTTTGGCTAAAACAGAAATAAAACTAGAATGTTTTGGCAAAAATCGGAAGTACGTTTGGGAATGATCTTTTACTGTAGAAATGTCGGAAACAAAAACATGCAAAACATATTTGGTAAGTCATGCGTTTCAAGAATTTTAAAAACAAAACATGTTTGGTAGCTCCAACTGTTGTAAACAAAATAAAACAGAAACAAAAAATATGTTTGGTTATCATTGTTTTTAATTTATTTTTATAAATTTTAAATTTATTTATAAATTTATTTCTATATAAATAGTCTATATATTTTTAATAAATATATTAAAATTTGAACACACAAACACACACACAGAGCATATTATCTTGATATGAAATTACACTTTAAGTTATTTGAAATTTCCTGGTATAGTTTGTTCCTTTGGTGATGATTGTCCATAGGTTTGTGTTTCATTCATTTTGCTCATTTTTCGCATTAGCGAAAGAAGAAAAAAAAAAAAATACTACACAGCTCTGATAATAATTTTCGACTCTTATAAGTCTGCATTGGTGGGAATTTAACTCCAAAATACAGATTCTTGTCTTTTCTTTTGTAAAAAAATGTAAACCCCCCCCAAATTATATATATATTAATTTTTGTAATAACTTATTTACAAGTTATTTGTAATAACCTAATTCAATTTTATTATCATTATACATGTATAGTCCAACTTAATATTAAAAATAAATAATCCCTAGTCACATTTTACTATACTACATGAGAGTCAACATTTGTAAAAAAATTTGCAATAACCTATTTACAAGTTCTTTACAATAACCTGCTTCAATTTTATTATGATTATACCTGTATAGTCCAACTCAACATTAAAAATAAATAATCTCTAGTTACATTTTACAATACTACATGAGAGTCAATATTTGTAAAAAAAAATTGCAATAATTTATTTACAAGGTCTTTGCAATAACCTGCTTCAATTTTATTATCCTAATACCTTTATAGTCCAACACAACATTAAAATAAAAACAAACTCAATTGAAAGCATAATTGAAATAGAGTGTATAACATTTACAAGTCCTTAAATATTCAACCAACAAATTAAACAAGTTTAAGTTCTACATAAAATGTTTGGAACAAAGCATTAACAATACATAGTTGTCACTAAAAATTGATAAGAAGTTCATAAAGTGGATGACAATGGCAACGACACATCATCTTCATAACAGAACATGTGGCCTTCAAGAGAGCATCAACACACTTCATATCTGCAATAATAGCATTTAAGTTGAATTATATATCTGTAAAAAAGATTTATATTACATATATATATATTGCAAGCTCACAATAGCAACAAATATATTACATATAAAAGAAAAAATATACCATTACTTTCAGAAGGATCAAGAGTGCTGAAGAGAATTCCAAATTTGATCAGCAATAGTATTACGCAACTGATCCATTTCTCGAAGCTGAGCCGAAGGTACATGCTCAACAATCTCATCATCTTCACCATCACTTTGAGGAGGATCATTACCATCAAATATGTCATCAGGCTGATGCTGATTTTTGATGAAATTATGTAATGTGCAACAAGCCATTACAATCAATACTTGTGTTAAAAACTTATAAGGAGGCATTGCACTCAAAATAGCGAATCTCATCTTCAATAACCCAAAGCATCGCTCAATTATATTTCTCAAAGATGAATGCCTATGATTGAACACTTCCTCCCGACCACGAGGTTGTCTAGTCTTATGGTATTCCTGAAAGTGGTAAGTATGACCTCGAAATGGGGCCAAATAACCAGGCTTATTGGCATACCCTGAGTCCACCAAATAATACTTACCTGCCATGTTTAGAATACATAAAGATATATACAGTATGATAAACTAACTATATATTAAGTGAATTTGTAAAATAATATTACCTGCTGGTGGAGCTGGAAAGTTCATTGCCTCATTTTCAGTACACTCATTTAGGATTCTCGAATCATTAGCTGAGCCTTCCCACCCAGCTAGCACATATGTGAACCTCATGTCAAAGTCACACACAGCCATTACATTTTGTATAGTATAACCCTTTCTACCACGAAATGGAAGTTGTGTACTTGCTGGCAGAGTTGCAGGAATGTGGGTTCCATCTATAGCTCCCACACAATGCCTGAAGTAAGGGTAAAACCTAGAAGACTCTCTAATCTTATTCGGAATCACAGAAAAATTAGGAGGGGCAATGATATGGGTGCCCAACTGACATACTGCATGCAACACAGCATGGAAGTATCTAGAAATGGTTTCAGTGGAGTGTTGAAATCTCTCTGCTATAACACGATTCATTTGATTATGAGATAAAGTGAGCAAAAAGATTGCCACTTGTTCATAAACAGTTAAAAATTTAGAATCCTTCAGCCCTATACCTTTCAGGGTACTACACAATGTTCTGAAAACTTCAGGGAACATCCTAAAATTTTCATAACATCTTTCTCTATGGCCGTTTAAAATCTCCATAACATATGTTTCTCCTTGTAAAATGGAATCCCTACAACGCCTCTTTTGATAGAAGTTCTGCTCTTCTAAAAGAGCAGCAAATATTAAGACACTCTCATTGTCCTCCTCATCGTCGCATAATTGAATTATTCTTCTTATATTGTTCCACATATCCATTACCCTATTTAAAGATTTAATACAAGCAAAACATTTAAGTTAATAAGTAAATCAATTAAATAATAAACAAAACATTTAAATAATAAAACAAACATTTAAATAATGGTATTAAAGTATTTGAGTACTAACAGGCATCTAAGAAATAAAATTATTTAAGTTATTATAGCCATCCAAATGTGAGATAATAAAAGTATTTAAGTTATTATAGCAATCCAGATGTGAGATAATAAAAATATTTAAGTTATTACAGTAATTCAAATGTGAGATAATAAAAGTATTTAAGTTATTACAGTCATCCAGATGTGAGATAATAAAAATATTTAAGTTATTACAGTCATCCAAATGTGAGATAATAAAAGTATTTAAGTTATTACAGTCATCCAAATGTGATATAGTAATAAGTTAAACGATGACACAAAACACAATCATCCATAAAGAAAAACTCAAACATTCAATGCCCAACCAATTCTTACATCCTCAGGTGCCGAAAGAAAAAATTTCTGCCACTTCTCATAATCATGTAATAACTTCGATACCTTAGCGAATTGGGCCATCTCAATTCCAGGTATTTTTTGTAAAAGGAGCATGGAGGCATCAAACATTTCATAATCTCTATCATTTTTTGAGGGAGAGAGAGCTTCATCATCTCCTTTCTCACATGAAGATACACGAGTAGAAGTAGAAGATGCTTTAGCTGCTTCTCTATTGCAGCTTCCATTCTCTCAGCTCTCCTCTCAGAATTCTCATTCATGTTTGACAAGAGTGCAGCTATACCAGGAGATAAAACATCTTTTTTGGCTTTCTTACCTTTACGTAAAGGTGGGGGACTGACCCCACAACCCTCTTCCTCATCATCGTCATCATTGGGAGTGGGCAAAATGATTGTGGGTGGTGCTGTAGTGGATGGGTGGGCATGCATCCCTTTTGCATATATGTCCCCAAATATAGTCGACATCTTGTCAAAATGCTTACATCCATACTTTTTATACTTATTTGCATTCGTAACAACCTACAAATTTTGTTATAATATTAACCACATAACCAATAATATACAAGATTTTATTATTTATTTAGGACTAATAATTAAATTACTAACCTTGCACAACCTGTCCCATCTCTTTTCCTCAACTATAACCATGCCCGTCTCATTGTTATATCATACACCAGTCTCTGATAATAATTTCTTAAACTCAGTATAAATTTTCCTCAAACCATTAAACTTATTCCGAAGTTGGGTTAAACCAAAATTTCTCCCCGTTTGAACATTCATTTGTTTGACTAAATTACTCCAACCACTTTTACTAAATGTTATGCCACTACGATTATTAGCTTTAACTTCTTCCACCATAATATTCACGAATTTTTCAATGAGTGACTCATCCCATAACAATTTTCCATCGTTCGTAACTTCAACCACTTCTTCAATTGTGAGAGAATCACCGCATTGTTCCACATTCTCAACATTCATATCCATCTAACATATTAATAACAACACTATAATTAATAACAAAAAAATAATAATTTTAAACTAGGAAAAACTATTGATGGTATTAAAGTTGCTCTATCACAACTACTGATTCATGAATGTTTATACTATTACAATATGTTTATTCCCCTTTTATACATTTGCTAGAAAGAGCTTATGATTTTAGGTTTTACTTAGTTCCTAGGAAACGTACATATAGTTAATATGGCATAAGTGCTGGAAAGCCCTACGAGAAGTTCACATATTTAATAAAGAATACTGAATCAAAATATAAAAAATAAAAAACAAGAAGAGAAAGGAGAAATTGGTGATAAATGTTATAATATTAGGTATTTTACTAAAGGGAAATATGGTCATTTCATTGTAATAGCAATTGTATATATATACACATATGTGATAGGAGAAGGGAAGCACTCTTACTCACAAAATTTCACTAATAATTGTGTTTTCTTATTCTATAAATCCTAAATTCAATAAGAGTAAAAGATGCAGATATTCTTCTGAACTTATGCATATATATTTAAAAGTAGGGGAAATGACATAATGATAAAGACTGAACCAGAAAAGGTGGGTGTGCATAAGAAGCTTACCTCTTTTTGGTGCTGTGAATCTAATGAGAAGAAAAGCTACCAAATCAACAAGAGATATCAAACTCCAGTCCAGTATAGCAGCTACAAGAAGGAAAGGTGGAAGAGGTAAAAACAATTAT